AGTTCATCATTCACCACTTATGTCTTTTAGGTAGGAAATAATGATTAGATGATGCTTGACGTAGTAAGCTATCAGAGGAGCGTTTAATAACGACAGCCACGTTGATATCAACCTTCCAAATGGTCATATTGAAGGGTCCACGTTTCCATGAAGAAGGGGAGTGAACTGTGGTAGTAAAACGAAATCTATGAAAAAATGGTTTCGTAGGCCTTCAACACTGGTCCTGACGTCACTAGTGTTATCATATACACTGTAATGTTTCATCTGGAAGTTTTGTTTGAGTTTTGTGGTGGACCAAACAGATATGAACGCGAAACGTATAAACAAAGTTATTAAAAATCAATAGTAATATTAATATATACAATTAATTGTTACAAATACAATAATAATTAAGGACGTTACTTAAATTGCCCAAACGTTGCGTGTTCTGATTAGGTCCAGTAATGTAAATCCACAATTATAAATGCTTGATGACTGAGCAGGTTGGCGAACTCTCTAGCGATATAGTCCAACGTAGGATGTGATATATTCCGATTATAGTCTATAAATGTAGATAGTATTTGATTTAGACTTCCGTTAACTCAATCACAAATGAAAATAGAACGAGGAATGCGTGATTAGTAATGTATTTGTTAACCAGCAAGAATATGTCACGCTATGTAGTAGCTCAACGGAAAGTGTGTTCAAGGTCATTGACTAAAACAACACGTACAGTCATTTAATGATGAATGTATATACAGTGAAAAATTGACAAACGAATACAAATAATATTAAAAACTATTTACAAAATAAGCTTGTCAGTCATATCTCCACAATTTGTACGAAAAATCTCTACACACAGTTTGGCAAAGCAACTTGATGATTAATTTTAAAAGTCAACCTGTTGTTCTTGATTTCTTCAGCTGTATGTTCCATTTATCTTTCGATTCTAGGTGAAACTGTCATTAATTGCTTTTTGTTTCAGCCCCCATTTCCTTTATATTTCCATCGAATGTCTCTGATTAGTGCGAACGACACCTACCTTGTCAATTAAAAGTATGGTTATGGCGGTTGCAGAATTGATTCTCTTCTCCCTTTTTATTGTGTTGTTTGAAATGACTACAGCTGTGCATTGTCTGATGGTTGACTGAAGCACCCCCTCCCCAGAACTGGAAACAGTCAGTGTGTCAACAAGTAATTAGTAATATAATATAATAATATTAATATCATATTAACATTTCAAGTTAAATCTCACCTTGAATTATCCATCCAGAAAAGATAAAATAATATTCCTGAATTGATAGGGATGCTTACTTTCTCGAATCCGTAACTATGCTGTATCCGCTATCAATTTATCTACTTAGTGTAATTAAGACTGATTATTTGAGTTGATAGAATAATTATAGACCGACTAATTGAGTGCTAGCATTTGTTTGGCTAATTGGTCTGTAGACCTACGGTACATGTTCGATATTAGTACATTTGTATTTGCCGTTATAACGATAGATCTAAAGCCAAAGTTTAAGGTTTGTCATAGGATCTTACGTGGAGGTTATGTCATTGTCCATACCGACGCGTTCTATTGTGACGATCAGCAAAACTGTTTGATAAGTCTAAAGAACATATTTCGCCTGAGGATAAAATGGTATGTTTAATGTGAAAAGGTATGAGTTACACAAGGATGACCACGCCTGCAAGGCTCAACCATGTCATACCGGTCACTTGTCACCGCTTACGCCATTTCTGACCTTCTCTACGTGTTACACGTTGAATGTAAATCGCACTAATTATAGGTTCATCTTCAAAAATCGTGCGGTTACGAACTGAACCACAAATGAAAAATGCCTGGATTAATTCTCAACATGCTTAGAATGAAAATACACGGGCAGATTATCTAAGAGTTAAAGAATTTTGGATTATAATAATGAGGAATGACTTTTATGTAGAGAACTTTTGACAAATCAATTACTTTTGGTCAGTAGCTTAGCATATGGGCATTACAGGTATATTTACTCAAGAGTAGAAAAACAATCAATATTTTGGAATTCCTTATATAAGTATTGTCTTTCGTTCAAGTTGGAAAGTCAAGTAATGTTTGTGTCGGTTTGCTCTTCATATGTGTTGGTTTTAAATTGCATTTGCATTATTAGGCTAACTAAAGGAACATAAGTACGACTATGGAGAGGGAGAAACTCAACTAGTGCTCCAGTTAGTTAATCAAGTTTAATACTGTTCATCTAGTCACGGGCAGATTTTTTCGACCTTGTTGTTGCTTAGCCGTGGATTTAGTAATGCTACCGAAATTCATTTAATGCATGAAAATACTGATAATTGTATGAGTTTAGGACAGATACCTGACGATAGTTCGTTGAACGCGAGTGAATCTGTCAGAGACACGCTCTGGATTCAGTGTTTTGAGGTGCAATGAACCAAATATTTTTATTTATACATACTGATTGATAGTGTATGCAGGTCAGTTGCAAGTATCAAGTCCAGGATAATATGAAGATAATTCTGCATGAACTTGAGTGATTGTGAGCTGTTGAAATCAACAAAGCTAACGTGCCACAAATATAAGTGATATGGTGTTGTACGGTTTAAGCTTAATTATTCTTTACAAGATGATAAACAGTGACTGTAGCTCATGTGATTATCGAGGAGAGCATAAGTTGTAACCAACGGGAGTACAACTCCCAACTCGTGTCTGTGCTAACCGAATGGACCTTTGTCTGTGTTGCGGTAAGTTCTACCGTGATGTCTTCAGTTTAGAGATTTCTTTGACTGCTAATACTGATTCGTGTAAACGATTATGTCGTTAAACTTTCAGTCAAGCTGACAACGTTCCTAGATGCCTGCTAAATGAGCAGCTGTCAAAGAAACACAGAAAACACCCTTAATATATAAAGATAACCACGAGAAAACATTACTATACAATGATAGTTATAAGTCAACTTATTGACAAAGTTTGTGTTAGTAGTTCCATAAATTTTATCAATCATATCGCGCGGATGTCAAGTTATGACAATGATTTAAGACGATATGCATAAACTGTTATGAATAACTAGTTATAGTGTTGATTGGTGATCAAACAATGGGAAATAGGTGTTGTTGTTTTCGGTGATTCGGAAATATCAGATTGTAGCGTAAATGAATCCGAGTTGTGTAAATAAATTCCAAACTGCAATCCAGATACATTTGTACACTTAGTGTTCATTTCCGTAGAAGGCTCGATAGTTTTGGTTTTAAACGCTTGTTTGACTAACAACTAAGTGATAGTTTTGTTATTATACCAGTGCAGTATGCTAATATCTTGATGCGGCGACTTTACTATCTTAACTACGTTAGACATCTTTCTAGGCAACTAATATGATAGCTCAATCAACAAACCCAAATACGCATAACAACAACGACTCTAATGGGTTAAATGGGAAGTGTTAAAAGCGGTTCAAATACTTGCTTAATTCAAATGGCATAGTGGTGACATAACGCAACGCATGTGCAAGCCAGGTCAACATGTACGTTGACAGAGAATATAACAATTAAAAAAACGTGGCAGAAAAATTTAAAAGTTGGTACCTGAATAATAGAACTACAATTAGGAACGTGAAGGATATAATGTAGAACTTTCACAACCGGTCGTTGTAGTTAGCCTAGTAACATTCACTAATGTGTAATAATGATAATAAGAGCCAAAGAGTATCTGATTAATTTTGATTCTAATATGGTTCTCTTGAGAGAGCGAATATGGATATCGAATAAATCCAGACAAGAAGCAATGCAGAGACTAGACTTTAAATATTTGATGTGAATGCAGAAACTACCTAACAAACTTAGGTCTGTTTGATTATGACATACTACGTTCTTCTGTGTGATGTATGAAACTTCTTTGAGAGAGAACTCTATGAACATAGTTGAAAGTAACGTGTTTGGTAGTCAAATTAGCTGCGGAATAATGAACAAAGGGACCACTGTTGTGTGCAAACAACCCATCAGGCTATCATGTTCCATCACAATATTCTTAAGATGAGTCGTATCTGGTGGAGTCATATTTTGGAAGACGGAAATTATAGTTAGGACAGGATTCAATATTATTTCAATGCTCCTATTCACTACAACGTTCCTGTGGCAAAATGGATGCCCGAACAAGATTTCGAATAATAAGCAAGTAAGACAGTACCAAATTGGATGGTTAAAGGTTCGGTACCTGAGAAACATCTAGTATCGCAGTAAAATATTTCAGTTAAATAGCGAATATATGTCTGGTCAAGAAACTACAGGTGCTGGTCTGCTGAAGGATTCATTACTTTCATTAGATTTTAAAGCAACTAAGTAACAACGATTCAACATAATTATGAAAGGGAACGTTTCTTTGTTGACATTGTTTGAAAGATTGATGAAATGAATTTACTATATGACAAAATTTCAAAGGCCTTCTACGTCATTTGCAAATGAGTGAATCAATGAAAGTTATTTCAGAAAGTAAGACGCCTGTGTTATCTTGACTAAACTTTATTAAAATTAGTGTCCACGCTTAACCACACCAGCTCAGTGCTGAATAGTATTGTTGCTGACTGTTTTTATGGTCATGTGTTCTGCAGATGAAACTTGGAATGTTATAATGAACGTTGAAGTAAAAGCAACACGCAGAGTGCTAATTGACAAGAAGATTTTAATGAAATTTAAATCCGTAGATGGAAACATAACTGATAAAAGTGTATCCCCACTTTGGACCACGTCACGATTACAACGGAATGCAGTTGAGACTTATCGATACTAGGGGAAGAGGGATAACTAACCGCATACTTTTGCGTCTATATCACTACCTGAATATTCATGACGTTTTATTTCAACAGAATATAAATCTGTCGGTATTTCAAAATATCATTACTATTCTTATAAACTAATTGGCTACCTTTTGTGTGTTTAGATTGTCAAGTTCTGAATTGACGAAGGTATTTATGATATTATGTGAACAAGTAACATTTAACTTTCCTGCCTGTATCTCGGGCTTCAGAAAAAAGTTACTAGCTATAAAAATTTATTAACAAGAGTGGGATATCTGTACAATTCTAACAGTTTAACATCATTAAATTATACATTAAATTATCCCATCGATAGTTCACTGATTGGCATTTTCACTGAAGAAGAAATTATTGGATTAGAACTTTGCTTATTGATAACAAGAACCTGTAGTATAAAACAAGAAGCATTAGAGATACTAAAAGCTCAAAAGTCGTGAATACAATGGTCAATAAAATGTCTTTTGCACGTGGCCTATATCGACAACTCAAGGCTAAAGTTAAGTCATTTCAAAAATGGACTTAAGCTAAGAACTGCTAGATATTTGACTATAATAGTGGTTAAAAATATAAAATATAAAAGGATTTTGCACTGAAATTTTGTAAAAGTGATTGATGGACGCTAAATACCTTTGAGAATATAGTTCTAGATATACTGATGCAAGCGGATTAGAAGATGTCTACATTATATACAAAATACCATTTCACACAACTTACAGTAATACATCAAGTATGATTATCAGAACTATGTGATATATTAGCGCAATACGCTTCGAACAATCTGATCACTATGGCGTGATTAGGCTTCAAATTGTGTTCACATTATTATCATTACCCTTATTATTATCTTTGTCTCCTCTTACCCCATTCCCAGTCTAGTTGACCTTTTATTTATAAATATAAATGGTCTTAACAAGTATATGCGTGATCAGATTGTTCGAAATGTATTGCGCTAATATATCACATGGTTCTGATAATCCTCGTCTTTTTATTACAATAAAATTGTATTAAAAAAACTAATCTTAAGGCTGTACACTTAAATACTCATACAAACAGTTAAAAATCTATTAGCAGTAATGTCAATGTAACATATCCAGTTAATTTCATCGAAGAAACAATGATAACATGTGAAAGTATAGTTACAATCCTGAATCAAAGTTGTGCCTTTCACATATTATTTATTACTTACGAGTTATCAAAATCTATAATATCAACAATAAAAGGATAAAATATTATAAACCGTACAAAATTTTGATTGCAAACCTTTATTTCTTCTTCATTTAATGTTTCATGAATCAAAGTGATGGAAGAAGTGTAACGGTATTTGAAACAAGGATAAATTGTAGCCAACTGGGATAATTAATAACAAAACACCAGAATAAGCAGTTATTAACAAAGATCATAAACAGTGGGGATTTAATTACGTTCTAAATAGATTGGGCTGAATCATCTAACTCCCTATCAAATCTCGGTTTTGATAAATAGATCACATATCGTGTATACAATAGACCCGTGATTATTTTCGTTTTTTTATTATAAATTTACTTAGTCAAACTGTGCAACTCTAATAAAAATGAGATAAATATAGATACATAGACCAGTAATTGATGCTGAAATTGGTCACAGTGGGTAAATTAATCAGCAAAAATTCTATTTTTGTAAGATAAAAAGATGGTTGTTGCTAACGGTAAACAACTTGTCAGCAGTAACGTTTCATTGCCCCTCTTGTACAGCATTTGATTGATTATCTGACATTAGGAACATCTATTTTCAGGAGCTTCAGTTCACCTTGCATCACAAATAATTTACAGTTAAGACAAAGGTCTGCTAAAGTCTTGATCCAAAAAATGTTGAATACAATATAATGGTAATTAAAAGCATGATCGTTTTATCCAATCTCTTGGCCTTCTTTAAAAATCGAGTGGCATAAATTTCAAACAGAACAATTCAGTCGATTAGTTGATACAGAAAAAAAAACATTTTTAGTCAAAATAGTAATGAAAAGTAGTTGTCCATCATAACTTGAAACTATTAAACATAAGGTATTCTATACTCCTTCTAAAGTCAACCAAAGATTTAAGTGTCTCAAACCTGATTCAAGTACTGATCAAGGTTTGTTTAATATAAACTAAATTTTTGAAATACCTAAGAATCTCGACTTTTAATCTACAAAATGTTAAGGGACATCTAAGACTGATCATATATGTTATGTGAAAGCCGAAGAATGCCTGATTTTACATATATCCGATCAGTTTTAGTGAAAAATTCTTAAGAACGTTTAGAAGCCAACTCATTTAAGTTCTTTCCTAGTATGATTGGTCAATAATCTAAACGATTATTATCATAATTATGTTTTCTTAACGTTTCTAGGACAGCATAATTACCGGTAATCGTATAAATATCCCCTGATATTCATAACTAAATCTGACTCGGTAATAAAGCTTCCAAAATATTTCTTCTTTTATTCTCGTGTTGGGTTAAAGAGATGAATATTGCAAAAGCTTACATATCACCTAAGAAATCAGTGTCTCAAACTTTCGATGTACCAAAATTATTAAAATGTATGTGATATTATTTAAAATTTATTTGAAATCCAGCTTTAACCAATTGAATAAAAGTCCAACTTACTGGAATCAAAACCGGATTCACTTGATAAACTGAAGCATTGAATAATATTAAAATATACAAACCCTTCAAAGTTGACATTGAATTGCTTTTTATTTGAACTATCTCACAAATCAAAGTAAATTCAGGTCCAAGACCCTGAACCTAAAAATTGTTAATTATGCGTTAAAACAACGGAGATACAAATAATTAAAAATGAAATATTTCGCGGATTTTCTTACTCCAAAAATATCTGGCTATAAACGTCTAGAAGAGTAGGATGCAAACACTGATAGTCAATTCTGTGTATTGTTATGCAGTAAGTGAAAGATATGCTATTCCAAATATCACCAAACCTATTTATGATAGACGTTTATTCAATGTCATAATATACCGTGGCAGTCTAAACAATACTGAATATTAATTTATATAAAAAACTGTGCATCTAGTTAACCACTGGCAATTAAACAAATGACATTTAGGTGAACAACATCATTTCAATGTGGTTGTGTTCTTTTATCACCATTTGACTAAAAACAGTACTCCCCTAATATGCTAAATAACTTCACCCACAAAAGCATTTTTTATGGCTTATATGTAATATGCTACTATTTTTTCACTAACTTTACATAATACCGTTTAGAGCCCACCAACTCTCACAAACGTTATATTTTCTGACCCGTAAGATGACACCGACACTTCGATAATAGCTGAAGAGTTTAATCATCAGTATTTTTACGGTTATTGTTGACTGCATAACGATTGAATGATCTTGATGTTAATGAAATATATGCCATATTTGATTGCATATATATTCTGTCAATAAATCCCGTTAACGACAACGTAGATATAAATAGTCGAATACGAAAGTATTTGATGGACATATATTTCAGAATTCAGTCATCCATACGAAAGATAAGAGATAAAGGAAAATGCATGCGAAATGGATTGACTGAAATAACCAAACGTGACCTAACGTTTATCGTTAAACAGAAAAAACATGCTAAACAGTTATGTGGGATAGGGAAGGATATTAGTAGACATATTCACACATACGCCCATATAAAAACAATCACGGTTACAATGGAATAATTGACAATGACAAATATATATGTAAAAAATTATTCAAAACTATGAAATTAATCTATCTGTTCAGAAATTTGAACAAATAATGTAGGTGTGCATCAACAGAGAAGCTGCTACAGTATCACAATTTATTACTCATGATAGCGTCAATAACCCAACTACAAAATAATATGTCTTACAAAATGATTCGAATTAACAATAACACTATAAAGATATGTTTACTTGAGGAATACTTTTGATGTATTAGGTTTTAATCAAAGTACGATTCTTTTTAAAAGTTTATTAGAGGACACAATTCAATAGTGAAGAAACTTACCTGGACATTTAATTTAATTTGTTCACCATAACCAGAAATCGGAATAGGATTAGAATGATTTTCTAACATATTAAGAAAGGTGGATGAAATTGATCGCTTTACAAAGCGTAAATCATTCACAAATTGACGATACATTTCTGGAAAAAAAATTAACATAAACATTCGACATAAAACATAATGTATCGTACACAACTCCGTTAATAATGAACAAACATTATCAGTCACCTAATTTGAAGATGTGTAGGTTAACCATATAAGTAATTGGTCTATAATAACTTATCTTTAGAAAATTATATCAGCAAACAGAAGTACATTTAGGTAATGTTACAGTTTATTATATTTAGCACCTGAAGAGTGAAAAAAATCGAAAAGGAAAACAAAATACATGAAAAATACTGTAACAAATACGACACCGTCGTTAATTGTTTAATTATTATCACTAATTTAATGTTTCAATGTATTTACAGAGCATTCAAATCTTATTTTAAACCCCATGAGTAACAGTAGGCAATAAGCTGAATGAATCTATAATGATCATGAGAAGTTGCGAAAAATTTACATAATACCTATACATAGCCTTCAAACATCTATTTTCATCTTTTGGTGTGTTTTGCAATGTGAACCGTCTTCTCGTTTGATCTCCAAGTGTTTTAGCTACGTCAAACTTTTGCTAAACTAACTTTCTTTTCTCCGTCTGACGATTGTTGCAAATTCCGCTGCATACTACTTACAAGCAATGTTGTCAGTAGTGTCCATTATATCTACAATATATATTCATATACTACGTTTTTCCAGAGTAAACTAATGTTTAGAAGTTATAAAGAGAAAGTCGAACAAAACACAACAGAACTTTAGTAAAAATAGCTACGTATTTTAATAAATTATTTTAAAGACAGAGAAAGAGTAAAATCTGAAATATTTTGATGAGGAATAATTGAATAAACACTGGGGAATTTGATAGGAAACAATAATCATCAGTATGATGAACAATTAAAAGAAGAATACTACCTTGCCTCATGATGTGGTGTGTGCTACTTATAATATTGACATAAGTAGTATATGATGTTAGTCGTGAACAGAAGGTTTGGCAGCAAAGAGACGAGAGGATCGAACAGTAAAGAATGGAAACAGGATGCAATATGTATGAAAATGCAAGAACAATGAAGTCTGAGTCATTTTGAGGCAATTGATGGACATTTTGCAAATAATGCATTTACTTTATGATTGTTAGATTTTTTAACAAGTCCTGTAATTTTGTGCTAAATACATTCGATTGTCCTCACTCGTGTTCTGTTCACTACAACTACACCGGGTCAAAGTTGATAAAGAGTGAAGTGCCGTCATTCTCTAAAAAATTGATTTAATTTAATTAATATTAATTATTATTGGGAAGTACTTTTTCTGTCAAGTGTCGTTAATAATAATTTAAAGCTGCCAAGAAAGGTAAATGTGTTCTCTGAAATACAACGATTACTATAACTGATATTAACATTTTTCTTCTTAATATTCATAAACCGTACATGTTTATTTAAACACAGCAAATAATCTTGAGTTTTGTACAATACAGCAGCAAAAAGTTCACTTCATTTATATCTTTCCCGGAAATAAGAAATTTCGTTATTTCATATCTGCATCACATTAATACTTCACAAATAGTTATGTTAATCGAGTTATTTATTATAGACATATACACAGAAAGAATACTAAGTAATAATTCCATTCCTAAAATCCTGATCTCTTGATAAATTAAAATAAAGCAAGAAGAACAAAATTTACAGAATAACATGAATTCACAATATGAAAAGGCTTCTCACCAGCTGCAAACAGCTTAAATTTATATAAGTAATACCATAACGAAGGGCGTCTACAAGGTTTTTGGAACATATTCCGCGTCAGATGTGACTAAAAGGAAGTAAAGTTTTCACAAACATTAAATGATTTTAATGGATAGAGGAAACACAAGGTGGATTTTTCAGAAGCATTCAAAATAATTCACAGACAATGTATGTCTTTTTTACTCCGTTTGCAGAAGTTGTAGACATCAAGAGCTTTCAATATGATGTTTGTATAAAGAAAGTGTTGTAAACCTATCGTTGCCATGGTAAAATAGTTACATTATTTTAAGCGTTATCAGTTACATTATCGCTTTAATATGGTTTCTAAATAAACATAAAAAATTTCACCGACAGTCACTAAAGACGTTAATTTCAATGTTACGTTAAATAGGTATTTTGGTTACTACTCATTTGGAAACAATTTGTTTCTATTCATTGTCTCTTCATGATCACTTATAACTTCACCTCCTCTTTTTTATGACTTCATTCTCAGTATATAAATATCAATTGATCAATATTAACTACTATTTTAAACATGTTGTTTCCTCTTGTTTCTTAAGTCATTTCAAGCAAAACTTCATTGATTAAAGTATATGATAAGTGATTTTGTAATAACATTAGTGATGTAAATCTAGATTGTTTCCAGCTGATCAGAACCTCTGAAATTTAATGAATTCATTTAATTCTGTGAATCTTGTTCTTTTTGTTTTATTGATTACCATTTAAAAAAGTGAGAATACTCACGCGGTGCATTTAATTGTTCACGAGTTGTTAAATCCATATATAAATTTGATTTTTTAGGGATATTCAAATTATCAAGTTTACCGATTGTACGAGAGGTAATCACATCCATCGGAATAAAGTTAGCTGTACGTTTAGCAATTAAGATTAACATGTGCCCAGCTAAACGAAAAAATGAATAAATACATAAATAAATTCAGTTTTACGTTGCAATTAAAACATTTATCCATAAGTTAGTTACAGGTATTCTAAGCATAGATAGATGATGGCTAGTAATGGAGTCCAGGACGCACGTTTCATCCTATTTGGGGCTCGTCAGCTGGATATACTTTCATCTCAGGGTTGACTTTCATTCCAGGACTCTAAACCGGTACTGCACTCTTCGAAACGCGCGTCCTGGATTCTCAGTCAGTCAGTAAAAACGTAGAACTTCATACGTACGTACATCAGTTCGAGTTGCCACACCACATTAGCACAGAGATGCAGTTGTCTACTCAAACTCCGTTGTGGTAGAGGTAGTAAGAACATACGCAGTAATCGGAAACATTAGGGTTTGAAGATGTTATTCAAGGAGTATAATCCAGTGAAATAAATTTGGAAAGAGAAAAATAGAGACAAGGAGGATTCAGGAGATTAGAATTTGGGAGAACACAGAGAGTGGATGCACCTGCGCCATTGCAAACGATTTTCAGCCATGTCATTCAGGGCCTCTAACCATCAGTTACTATCATCTCGTGGTCCCCAACTAGGTAGTCTACACCTACCAACATGGCTCGGTCCACTTGTCAGTAACTTCATGGACTTGTGCCATGTTTTGTTCTGGCCGCCTTTAGCTTTCTTCCAACCTACTTCTATACCATTGAACATCGCACGTCGAGGCAGTCGGTGGTTGGGCATACGTAACACATGTCCCAGCCATCTCAACTGGATTCTACTGCTAGCCATTATCATCTCAGCCTATAATGCTTGTGATTTAGGGCAATATCGGGGCAATTTACACGGGATACACATATACCAATAAGAGATGGACCAATTGCAGTCCTAAACATCGATGGGAAGATCCAAATAACCAATACAAAATGATTTAGTTACAGGTAGGTAGAACCTGTTTACTTCGATCTGGGCACCCAGGCAGTATCACAGCTCACTCACAAATCAAGTGACTTGCGTGGCGCATATCTGTTTGGTGCCTCCTTGTACCAATGTTTATGTGTTCAGATAATAATAATAATAAGGTGGAACCTGTAGTATAGATAAGGCTTTGAAATACTTCAATGTATATAAGTAAGTTTTCCTCATTAGTAATCATTTACATCAAGAGATTTATCTAAAATAGTAATAATTAACCAGTAGAAGGTGAGTATTTTCGATGTAGCCTGTAAAAACGTTTCATTAATGTAATTAGACTGTATAAATAGAGAGGAAACTGAAAAAAATGAGTATGTCTTAAGAATTGTGTTTGGTAACCTCGATCACAGAATTTTCAGTATAATTCCAATTAGTTGACAGTAAACATTATCAGCATGATAGTGCAGCATGGAAAACTATCTGAAAGTTAATCAAATGTTATCATTCTCCGAAACTTAGTTTCAAGTTGTAAGAAATATAATTTGAAAGCAAATATCATCAATACAATTTCACTGTTTCAGTGGCAGCAGTTAACAAATTATATGAACTTGCGTTACATTATGATTTTAATGTCAATGAATACTATTTATAAACTTGATACTTTAAGGTTTACGTTAGCCTCAAATTTCAAGTTATAGCTTTTTGATACATGTCAGTAAGAGGGTTGTGGAAATTGTTTCAAAGATGGTCTAGATCGATTCATGATTTTAATGAAACTGATAAGTTATGAACATTTATCTTGATAGAAAAATGTGAATTCTACAATTTTCAACTAATTAATTGAATAGTGAAATGTACAAACAGTGGAGTTTATCATTGAAAATGATCGACAAACCTTGAGATACAAGTATTAGTGTATTGATTTCTCTGTCATATTTCCCAAAACAGCAAGCGACAATTGGATCAGGTTTCGCTAAGTGATAACCAATTAGTTTACGTGATTGATTGTTGTTCTGTTCAGTTTCTGTCACCTTAATAGTACCTGAATTACCAGATGTAATATTGTTTGGAGGATTACTATTATTATCCTCAGGGCCAGTATTCTGAGTAGAAGGAACCCATATGATGCATTTGTCACATAAATGTTGATCACAGTAGATCTGGACTGAACCATCCGATAAACATATGATATAATAAATTTCATGATTTCTATTGTTTGAACTATTAAAATTCATTGGAGTTATTGTTAAAATTTCGCACGAATGTCTTACTCTCCAAATTGGTCGACCCTAGAAAATTGTATAAAAATGGATTGAATAGTAACAAAAAGAAAAAAAACGGTTAATTCATAAATTATCTATAATAAACACTGGATCAACTTAAGATTAAATCTGAAACTGAATTCTTTCAAATAAGAATAATAAGGGTGGTAGCCCAATGACTTGCAGTTGCTTTATTTCACTTAGATTTCTAAGTTCTGTAACAAAGTCAGATAGTAGATTGCTGTCACATATGCATTTTCTTAGAGGAAGAGGAAGTGAATAAGAGATTTCTTAAATAAAAATATGTAGCAAAGATTTCATTAGTGGGTAATGAAACATGACTGATACGTGAGTTAGTGTGTGTGTGTGTGGAAGAAATTTTCAAAGGCACAATATTTTATTTAATATAACCAATTTATTCGTCATTCCAAAGTTAGCAAGGTTATTTTGTGTGTTAAATAGAAAAACAGAACAGTTCAGAAAAGGTGATGTGCAAGTGATCGTCTATGGTTCTCTGATTAGATTAGGAAGATTGTTCATAAATTATATCAATTTGCACCAATTTTTAATATAACACAACACCTCTCTTTTTTTCTTACCATAGATCATTATTTTAAGTAATGCAATTAACTATAAATATTGTTGTACAGTTAAAGTGAATAAGATTGTGGAAAAGAACGTTTATTCACTAAGTTGTCTTTATTTCTTCCTCAAATTGAGTTTCCCCAAACAAATTATCAAGAAATTCGATTGAAAAAATCCATGCAGAACTCTAACCTAGAGCATAAGTTATGCTTGGAAATCCCGAAAACGAACGATACATTTTGCTTAAATTAAAATAATATTACAGAAAGCACTAGAAATTTACAAACTTCAATCTATGAGATAACTGAATACTGATTGATCTATCAAAAAAATTATATACGAATGTACAGTTGACTAGATGTAGTATTACACGTGGCTCATCCGATGATGAATAATACTTGTAGTGTCATGAAACTCGATTTTTTAAAAATCCACTTATAAGAATGCCTCAAATCCTGTGACTACAGTATTAAAGATAATGAGTGTCAGGAATTTCCATTTCAATTTTTTTTGAGGACCCCGGTATGTGTTTAACTCGACCACAGTTGTCTGGAGTTGAATCACAAAATTCATTGAAATACTGTCATTTAAAGCTTGAGAAAATAAAAAAAACTGTTTTCCTAGATTCCAGTTCATTTAGCTCGATAATCGTCGGTGTGAAATGATGGGGCATGGTAACATCAAACGTTAAAACTTTAAATGACAATGCACAGATATTTTGTAAACATTTATTAAATAGTATAAGGCGCTACTGATTCATTCTAGTTATTTACCTCCAGTGAAAATCCTTTAACTGTTTGATCCATACAAGCAACTATAACAGCTTTTTCTGTACGAAGTAAACCGATAATCTGTGACCCAGTTTCAACATAAACCTTAGCGTTGGCTTCTCCACTTGAAGAATAAAAACAGAAATAAAATACTAGTAGCTGTGTCAGCAGTAAAAGATATGAAGGTGTAAACTACTTTATCGGAACCCGAGGGAGAGATACCTAGGCAAAAGGAACAATATATTCATGTAAAAACCCGATTACTAGTAAATAAAGTAATTTTGACATACAAGTAATACCACTAGTAGACGAGATGTTGTGGCAATGCTAAGTTACAAAATGAGCAACACTAATTAGGCTTAAATCATGTCACAGGATAGTTCAAGTTTCCATTGGGTTTCATGATTTCAGATTACATTTTGTTCGACTTGATCTATTTGTTTGGTATTATCGACAACTTTTAAAGTTTAGGGTTGGATGTTGTTTAAAAATTCAGGAATAAGTCTAGTAAACAGTTTTGAGAGATTCGTTTTCATACTTTTAAACAGTCCAAAAAGTGTAGAGATTTTGGTTGAGTTCTATAATCCAGTGAAGTGAACCAAGAGTTTCTAATATATTTGGTGTGTGGCTAACAGTGTACTCCAGGGTGCGGGTCCCGTCATATCCGGGAGTTGTCAATTGGATGTACCTACACCTCAGTATTGTTCACACTGAGACTAAATTGCAATGTTTTTCACCTAGAATTCCAATGAGTTATCCATTACTTTAATGAAGTCATAAAATTTTAACAATACCTTCATACAAGTTATAGGCTATCCGGACTTGGTAGCTCGGTGGATGACTGAAATAATCAGTGAATGGGACTGGTCTGAATGACTCTTTATGCATAACACAGCTGCAATAAATTGATTTGAAACCAAATATTCGAAAAGGACAAACGGCGATATATTGGAAATCACACTCATAATTTGTTACAGCTTCTTTCCATGAATGCTGCCGACAACTCGGTGGTAGTTAGTTGAAACAAGAATAAAATGAATGTTCATAACCATCCACTACGTCTATTACTCAGTTGTTTATAAAAAATAATAGTACCTTAACTTGATCGATTAATATTTCGTATATTATTGGCTTATCTGCATCCAGTTTAAACAGTAATAGTCTTAAAAGAATTATAGTTTCTGATAATGACATATACACTCTTCGAACTCATATCTCCGATTAATCATCACTGGTTGTAAAAAGTAAGCAATAACTTGATTAGTTTGGATTTCGAGTTCTGTTATTATATTTAACTCGAAGTTCGTTTTATTGGATGAGTTAATATTATTTTTACCTATGTCTTAAAAAAAATAAGCCTGTTTTAACAAGTCAATTTGTGTAGTGACAGATTGAATAACAATAAGTGACAATTTCACGGTTCTTACAGCTTTGAATTTCATTTACACTTGAAATAAACCAAAATCTTTACAACAACAGAAACATAAATGTTGTAAAAATTATTTACCGTTTTATGGAGTAAATTATTCCGTTACGACATGTCACTAAAATATGATAGTCAATATCGAAGGATCCTATTGCGTTTAAATGAACTGGAACAGATGGTAACGCAACCTAAGATATATAAAATAAAGACGATATATAATTAAAGTCTTCCGAGATTATTTTGTTGTTATTTATAACAATACTTCTGGAATAATGAGGCTTCAGAGAAGAAACGTTTCTTTTTTGTATGATGACATTTCATAGAGTCGCACGATATAGATATTATTTTAGTCGAGAATATCGATAAGAGAAGTTATCAAACTAAACCATTTCAAGATCAGATTTGAATGCAGTAGTATGATTATATATGTATATTTATGTAGAATATAAAACCGTCATTTTCAATGGGGCTACACAAAAGATAACTATCATGTTACTGAAACAGTTGATAATGAATAAGAAAACCCATAGAAAAATTTCATCCAAAAATTATTCAACACATCTAATGCGCTTTATTTATTTTTACCAGTTCAGTAAGTTCAGTATGACAAAAATGAACCGATTCGAAATTTTATATTAATTGCAATGTATTCATTGATTTCATTAAATCAAGAAGAATTTGATGTACAGATAACGAAAACATCTGAGAAGATTGATTTTAGACTAATGACTGCATTGAAAATGAGTTATCCAGAACAGAAAAAAACTCGTTTCAACACATTAGACAAATTGCTGATCGTGCATTTGAATTTGCATGTACGTGCCAGAGCTTGCTTACTTACTTACACCTGTTACCTCTTATGGAGGAAAATAGACCGCTCACTAGCATTCTCCATCCAAATCTGTCCTGGGTAATCCTTTCCAGTTCTTCCCAGTTGCTATTGATCCTTTTCATTTCTGCTTCCAATTCTTGGTTCAGTGTGTTCTTTAGCCTTCCGCTTTTACGTTTCCCTTCAGGATTGCAAGTTAGCAGATGCTTCGTGATGCAGTTTGATAATTTCCTCAATATGTGTTCTATCCACTTCCAGCCTCAAAATGTTAACCACACGTGCCAGAGCACATATATTTAAAAAGTAGAAAGGAGAGTTGATGTTTTTATGTCCGAGACCATTCTTTAAAAATTGAGACCAAGAGGTTAAAATGTCGTTAGTAGAGTGATCGTCCGTTATATACTTGATTGTGGAGATGATTGTCAGATTTACAATTATCCAAAATTATCAAGAAACAAACCATTTAGGACCAATGAGGTTTTGTAGAAGTCCTTACTATCAAAGCCGTAAACTGAATTTATATATTTCAAAGGAATATTGTTGTCACCTTTGCATTGATCTAATAATTCCAGTTTCCATACTGCACTCATAACATTTTTTGTTTATGACATATTATAACTGTTTAAAAATTCCCCATTATATCAAACCCTAGTTTTATTAACCATTTGCCTTATGTTACATAATTCAGAGCCAAATTATGATACTCACAGCTCAGTCACAGTAAGATTAACAATCCATTCAAAGCTTAACTTATTTGAAATTATCAAGTCGAACAGTGAAAATATTATTTATATACACTGGTTTTTTCTTGCGAAAATAATGAGGATTATTAATTTTAGATTACAAACAGTTAAAGCCAATAAATAAATGAGTCTATATTTTTCCGTTACGTCCGTTATTTTTGTTCTATTATTATTTATCAATAGGAAAAATTGTATATTATTTATCTTAATAGTTGGATTCATGAGTCATTTGAGGCAAAACCACCATGGAAAACCTGGAATCACTGGATGACCGTTTCGTCCTAGTGTAGGACTCCTCAGCAGTGCACGTCCACAATCCCCGTCATGGAATTTGAACTTAGGATTTATCGGTTTCGCACACGAACGCTTAACATCTAGACCAATGAACCGGCATCCCTGGATGGTAATGTCACTTTTTTCAGCCAAATACAACCTAAATATGTTAATTTGTATTATAATCAAAATATAGGTTTTGTCGTTGAACAGGGATGATATTAAGACCCGTGAGCTTTGTAATTAAGTACAACGAGCAAATAAAGACAAATATTTGAATAATTAGTTTTAAACAGTAGTTTGTTTATAACATGTAGTGTTCAAATTTTCATTTACTAAGCTTAGCTTTTGTTCAGCATTATAAATATAATACTAAACTATGATCTCGATATATCATAACTTTATTGAAATTGGAAATGTACATTTAAAGTTATCGGTTATCAAAGATGATAGGAAACTAGCTACCTAATCTTCTTTGATTTTCAGTAGTTTTCTAGTAGATTTTAAGCCATTGTGAAAGTTATATTTTAAATCTTTTTATATTTTATGTAGCTTGTAGCCCATAATAAATTATATGATATAATAAACTTGTTATAATCTCCATATTACATCTCTATTACAATAACAGAAAAGGTTTATTATATTAATCCGAAAACATCTCTTATGATCAACACTGTCGTATAAATTTTACTTAACAAGTGTATTCATACTGAACTAGTTAACTAAGGAATATGAATTTCAGGCAACAAAATTTTATAATGTTATGCTTTTATCAGATTTCTTCTACAAAGTAAACCAGAGTAAATGAGTAATGGTTTTTAAGAGCAAAGAGTACAGTGAAATAAGTGAAATGTTTGTTCTTCATATCTACCGAAACATGCTTAACTTCAATAGGTCTAATTCTTTCTCATTCGTGGTGCTTTTTTTAACTGCTTTTAACTCATAAAATAGATTATTAAAACATCAATCAAATTCTTAAAATCAACATGTTAAGAAATATGATGAAATTTACTTACCTCACATAAATTATTGTGTGATACACAATCGTAAATATAAACAAAACAGGATTCTGTGCCAACGATTAAACAGTCCCAGGAATTAGGTCCACTGTGTTGTTTACTCATTTTAGTCAAACACGTTGCTACAGTCTGCAGAAATAAGTTCAGAAATGCTAAATTAACAAGTAATACAATACGGAAACATCTCTATCACAACTACTCAATATAACAATATAAAACATGGAAAATGATTGCATAAAAGATAGCTACTCCTACTTGCTTTTGAAGTGGAATCATTCGATAAGTGTTGAAAAATTCGTGTAATAGGTCGCCGGGTAATTGTAGATACCGTATAGATCTTGAAGTCAGCTTATGCATTTCAGATCTTGAGTTTAAAAGAAAAACAAAAAAAATAAAAGATTACTTTTTTAAACAAATTCAATCACAATAATTTTTTTCAAAATCTGAAATAAAACATTTAATATTGATATTGATTGAATATTATATTCATGAGATCCGAAGCCCATAGAGTAACCTTTTTAAATGGTTCATTAAACGAGCGTTAAGTTTTTTCTGCTTTATTAAGAATATAACATACGTTACTATGAGCATGTAAATCAGCTGATCATGGTATTATCTTTACTGTAAATGAAGTCCATTTTTAACTATGTTTTTCATTACTACAAATGCTATACCTCTTCGTTTTTAAATGAGCACAAGGCTAGATAAGACTATCCTACTATATCTAGATGTGACGCAGTCACTTTTAGGTTCTGAAAACTCACTTCTCCGAAATAGCATCCATCAAAATTTTTTTAATTGCTCAAAAAAATCTTCAGAACTGTAGTTCCAGTACTCACACTATTTTCAACTTTACTTAGAAATTAGTCCCGTGAAATTAGTTTAGCGTGATAAACGGATAGCAGGGTTAATTAATTTTGAGATCCCTTGAAGACATTATAAATCCGGCAATTTGTAAAACACCAATATTATTCACGGAGAACTAAAAGAATTTGTGAAGTCTGTCAAATTGTAAGTAGTCATTTTCATTTAGTTAAGTCACGCTAATAAACCATTGGTGTTTGAAAGTGATAACACAAGTAGTTGTAAAGTGGTGACTTAGTGGTTGCATCATTCAACTTTGACACATTAGGGAGTAGGTTTGAATCCTGACTTTTCTATTTTGGTTTGGGCAACCTGGTAGTATAAAAAAATCTCAAATAAAAAATACAAATCAATACCGACTATACTTACATGTACCTGTAAATAAATTGCATTACATCAAACTAATTACCACAAATATTTACTTGATTTCATTCAGTTATCTAACATTAAATATAAGGAAAAATTATAGGAACATACCCAATCTGCTTAAGTTTTTCACGTAATTCCTCTGGTGTCAAATTACCCTGTAAACAATAGGAAATTGATTGTTAAACAATAAATGATTTCACAAAGTAGCTATGTGAAAAGTGAGGTGGAAAATTTGTAAGTTACTCAGACAAGACTTATTTCAACTAACTAATTTGCCAGTTATATAAATTCTCACCTAGAAAGTAGTAAGCCAATAAGAGTAAAAAAATACTTATTTAAGAGATAAAGTAATAATATCCATCTGAAATCAAATCTTTCAACCAAATTACAAATAAAATGTTTTCAATTCTTTAGTAACATTTAAAAGGTTCACTGTTTCGAGATCTCATTGATTGATCTTATAAGTTGTTAGTTAAAATACAATCAATTAGAGTTGATGACTCTGTTATTTATAATTCTCAGAAACATTTTCACTTATGAACTCTGAAATTCAAAATAGAACAACCGGCATAAAGTAAAGGTAGATTTTTTATATTACAGAAATGTGAGATGGTGAAGATTTGTAGCTGAGGTGGATGATTTTGATGGAGTTTTATTCTTTTAACTGGATGATTTTGTCATCGACTTTTCATTATTCTCAACCACATGGTCAACATGAACTTCAGATAGAAGTGAAGTGTTCATAGTTATTTAGTTGGCAAAAATTATTAGCCCAATATTCTATACAGAATAATGCTGGAGATATTTTATTGTATAAAATATAACAATCATATGAAATTTAATAATCTCAATAGTTCAGATCGTGAGTCAATTGAAGCTAGATCACCATGAAAAACCTGGAACCACTGGACGGCCATTTTATCCTATTGGGGAACTCCTCAGTAGTGCGCATCCACGATCCCGCCTCGTGGGGTTCAAACCCAGAACCTGTCGGTTTCGTGCGCGAACGCTTAGTTTCTAGACCAATGAGCCGGCCGGCATCTAAACGTGTTAATGTCTAACTTCAACAAATCCATGAAATCGAGTGACACATCCACCATTGTCATCAGTGATTTATTATCTCAGAACAGACCCGGTTGAACTCAATTGGTCACTGCTTCTCACTAGAACTCCAGGAAAAACCTCTTGGAGTCAGTCACTAGTGAGCATATACTGATCAGTATCAGAAGGGGTTTTTGTGGATATTATAATAATTTCAATAGTTGAGATCATGAGTCAATTGAAGCTAGACCACTATGAAATTTAAAATTTAGAAATAGAATCAAACTTCCTTTGCACATTTTTAAAAATTTTATTGATCATAAAGCATAAATATATGTGAAAAATAGTGAAAAATTATTATTATTTTTTAATATTTACCTCTCTAGCTTGTTCCCATAGTTTGAGTTCATCCAAATTAGGTTCCAATGAAGGTAGAGTGTATTTATAATATGATGATAATTTACAGTAGACATAAATAAATGGTCCAGCAGCAATAGCTAAATCTTATACATTTCAACATAAAAATACATGAGTTTAATAAAGTAATGAAAAACTACTAATAATAAGTAGGACAGACATAATTTTAAAAAAATAATAATAAGTGATATGCAGCGATTAGTTACATCAGTCAATCAACTACATCGTAGGACAAGGCACATATATGCATCGGTTCAAGTTGTCATACCTCATTAGCACAACAAGATGAACACCGAATTCATTGAAGTAATTAGTTACATGAGACAATGTCAACCAAACTAAATATCCAATTTAAAGTTAAATAAACTAGGGAATTTGAAATTAATAAATTTCGAATCTATTAAAGTATCAGTCAGTCAGTCAGCTACAACGTAGGACCAGGCAGATATATCCATTGGTCCAAGTTGCCAAACCTCATTGACACAACAAGATCAACACCGGATTTATAGGAGTAATTAATTCAGTTGTGGTAATATATAAAAGAAAGATTGCAGTAAGGATATAGTACAGAAAGAAAGAATTAGTTCATAGAAAGAAAGATATGAAGCGATTTTAATCTCTTAGTTTAAGGGAAGACAGAGAGTGTATATACTGACGCCATTGTGATCGATTCTGAGCCATGCCACCAAGAGTCTCCAACCAGTAGTTACCATAGTTACGCGGACCCTAACCAAGTAGTTTACATCTCCCAACATGGCTCAGACTAGAAGTTAGTGACTTCAAGCACTGATGCCACGTTTCGGTTTGGCCGCCTCTCTTAAAGTATGCACCTAACTGATCTAAAAGGAATGTTTAGAAAAAAAGATGATATTACCATTTTTGATTCATTAAACATTTTAAAAGTTGGGTTACTTCATGTCGTATGATGGAAACCAAAAACAATTTACCTGAAATTCCTACTGTAGGTTAATTTTGAAAAGAATTAGTGTATTCTGAAAAGAAGTCAATCCCATAGTTGACAGTGAACTATTGATTTATTGCTAAATATATTAGTAGTAGTTTGCCCAGAGTGAAATTTATGATTAGCATGATTATAGTCAACGTAGGGTAAGAGAGGTAACAATATAACCTAATCCGAGATTATGTGATCTGTGGAGTGTTATAAATTAAGATATAGTTGAGTGCTAAATAAATTGTTTTAGAGTATAAGAATAAAAACAACTAAGTAACACAAATTTATTTTGAAAAAAAGAATAACAATTCTTGAATTGATAGAAATGTAGACCGTTGGATGCCAACTCGGTGATATGAAAATCAATTGCTCACCGCAGCATCTGACCGTCATGAATTCTTACGTGGTCATGGATGTACATTTCTTCAGAGTATTAAAATAGGATAAAATAGCTGCCAAACGTTTCCTGTTTTACAATGGTTGTCTAACGTGAGTCTATGTGTAATGTGAAACTTCTAAGAACAATTCGTTTCGCACTCACTTTAAATTCATATACTTTTGAGGATTACATAATCTCCGGGCAAACTTTATTATAGTTACCAAACGTATTTCATTACTTCTGTGACGATATCTCTTATTAAGTCCCAGATACTTTTATTGCTTAGTATTATTGGACTTCGCTCGACAAGTCCCCAAATCAGAACACGCTTGAACATAAACATAATCATATTTCAAATGGAAGTAGGAATCCCAATAAGAAAAATTGTAGTATATTTATAATTTTTACATAAGAATATTCTAGAGTCCTTTCCAAGCATTCGCTAATGCTGGTTGACTAAGAAACAGCAAATCAACGTGTCCAAACACAACCCTCCACGGAATATGCTTCAATCCAATCTATAACTCGCTAACAACTTCCCTCACATTACGTTATCTCCATTTATTGTAATTGGTAACCACATAATCTTATCTTATCGGTGACCTAATTCATGTAAGCACTACATAGTTATGTATGACTTATAAGATAGTAGAAAACGGATTCGTTGTTATCTCCTCTTAAATTTATCACGTTAACTCTACGAAACAAGACAGGTTTAAGTTGTATTACTGAAAAATACTGTATTTGGTATTTTTACTATAAGCAGAATATTATAAACACCGGGAACCTCCTGGGATATTTTTAAAATAGGTTAGAATATTCATCCTAACTCCTGAAAGAAAATTCAGTTAAGGTTATTCCTCTATACTAAAAATTTGGAACTTAACCGTCCGAGATATAGAAAGTCTTAAACATGTATTCAGAAGTCAGAACATAGCTCAGTGTTACCCACCTAGACAATGTTTGTCGTTCCCTTTACACTTAAATGGAATAATTCCAGAAGGAGCTTCAATATATGGTAGTTCATTGGTGAGTTTAGTCCCCTTAAATATCTTGATTTTGAATTCAAAACCTCCTAAGTTAGAATGAATATTTTCGAAGTATTGACTAAAATCAGCAACGATAAGTTCATTGGTAGACGAGTCAAAAATATCTCCAAGGCACATGCACTGAGAAAAAGTTGATAAATTTATGGTTATATCATGTTTCGCAAGTAACCAAGAATCACTGATTGCCATTTGGTACATAGTAGAAATTTGCTCCTTCGTATGATCTGTTACCATCATTTCTACATTTGTGCAATAAGAAGCCCCAATCTATAACAAGAAAGAAGTAACCAGTTAGACAAGTAATAAAAGTTATTCGGAAGGACAAAATGAATTTATAAACACAGAAAACTGATATTTTATTTCCGCTGAACTTTCTTCATATTGTTAAAATTTCATTAAAACCTAAAGAAAAACCTACTCAATATTGCTATTTAGCACTTTGACAACTTTCAAACACCGAAATCACTTTATATTCCAGTAATTCTAAACTCATTACGGTGATAACTTATTAACTATAACGAATGAAGTGCATTATCAATATACTAAACATTTTTATTTTTCAGCACGTTTACGTTTTCTACACAAAACTTAGGAATCAAGTATGAAAATCTGTATGAGATTTAGATCCTAAAATGGTATCCTAGTACGCATCTCTTATTTAGATAAATATTGTTAAAATGAGAAAACTAGATCTTAAAAAGACACATGCGATAATTTCATATCTGTTTAGTTCAAAGGTTAATGCGAAAGACTTGGATATTCATTTTGTAACAGGCTGTCAGATATGAAGTGAATTAATCTATCAGAAAGACAGTAAAATGCTGTCTGTAAAACCGAAAGGTACAGTGATTTTAATGACCAAGCTCCCAAAACTTTCATTTGGATTTGACGAAACTAATAAATATATCACGAACTCGTCATTACTATTTATAAATTAAGTCGACAAAGGAACATGTAGGTTCACTGTAGACAACACTGGGTTCCCTTTAGTGAAAATAATCTCTTTCTTCCTCATTGTAATGACAGAACTGAAAGGACACTCACTAATTTAAGATGATGGAAAACCTGCAAAGCAATCACGCTTCACTATGATCAGCTAAATAATAGAAGCTGGAAAGTTAGAAGGACCATGTTACAGAGACCTACACAGACTAAAATTTTAATGAGTCAGTTTTGATAAAATTTATCGTTTCAATTTGCCCAAGCAGTTTTTTTTATATCTTACTAAGAACCTAAAAAGTAAGTTTTAACAAAACCCTGACTGATGTTCGATTTCCTATGGATAATCAGATCGATAAAAAAATAGGTTTAATCACCCATGTTTTATTTTAAGTTTTGGTGAATCTTCTATAAAGAGTTTGAAATTCGTAGTGTGATAAATCTGTCGGTGATTTGAGAAAAGAAGATGGTGCTTTTGAAATTCGTTATGATGGAACATTTTACTCAATATAGCTGTTTAAAGATTAAATAATCATCATCTGTAGGCTAAGTAAACAACTTTAACACAGGTTTGTAATTGTTTCGGAAATCAGTACCGAACTTCTCATAAAACGTTGGGAAACTGAAAGAACATCCACATGAAAATCAAGTAGGTGAAAGATTCATACTGTAAGGCTAAAGAGTAGTTGTTACTATTGTTGCTGTTTTTAAAAAAAATGTTAAACACATCTCTTGGATACTATTAAACGAAAACGATATTAGTATTTCATAATACCACTACTCAGCATGCTACAACCATCCATAAAGTATGCGATCTCAAGGTTCACCCTAACCTTATCAAGTATAAAACCCTAGAACGATTGTTTAGCCAAGCCATTAAAACTTGAGAAGGCAACGAGTAGACTAGAAACACTTTTGACGATTTTATTATGAGAAAAATGAGGGTCAACCAGATGGTTTCGATCAGGAGATCATATTGTTAAATACATAGTGTTTTAAGAAAGTAGAAAAAATTCAGTAAAACCTAATTTTATAAATTTCGGGTCAGCACACAATAGGATGGCAAAATATGGGCGTGGATTCAGAAGGCTCGACTGACTTTTGACCACTTGGATAACTTGTGGCGTAGGAGAGATATCCATCTGCCAACCAAAGAACGAGTTTAATGCCCATCAGTTATGGATGTGAAACATGGCCATCTAGAACAGAGGATATACGTAGGTTACTAGTATTCGATGATAGGTTTCTTCGAAGGATTGCTTCTGAATTTCGGGACCACTGAGTTACCAATGCCTGGATGAGAAATAGGATAATAAGTAAGCATGGCAAATCGATTGATGAGGTAGTGAATCTTCAATAACTGAGGTGGTTGGAACATGTGTCACGTAGGTCAGTGAATATGATCATGACCTAGCAAATAGGTCAATCGATCTTCGAGATTATACTTGAACACTTGAACCCTTTCCCGAAATATAGTGGTTTGGGGCTGGTGTTGTTTTGGACATTGTAGGTTTATATTGAATATCGAAACAAACATGATTAAATACTTTCTCAGTTCGCCTTTGTCCCTTTTATTGCCATCATTATGAAAATTGGACAATGTGGCCGATTTGCTAAGAGTTTGGAAAATCTTGATTTTGATGTAGGATGTAAGTTAGAAATATTGAGTTCTCGTCCATGTACAGCATTATCAGCTGACTATAAAGTTCACCACCGTCTATCTTACGTTGCGTTAGATTAGCGTTTGCCAAAGCATCAAAACTATCTGGATGAGTTACTGGTGAAAAACCATCAGAAACGCTAGCAACTATCTGTCCTACTTAAAAAACACAATGGAATGTGGGTTCAGTTGGACAGTCTATCCCATTTATATTCTTAATTAAGGAGACTTTGTTTTGAACTTTGTATACAACATATATCAAACGTTATCCAAAATTTGGATACAAGCAACAATTGCGTGTTTTAAACATAAACAGGTAAGTTAAGATGAACTAGATAATCAATAAATTAATTTATAAGGCAGTTTTACAACTTCTTTATGCTAAACAAGCGTATGCATTGCCCTGAGTAATGTTTTTAGGCCCATATATCCAGGTTGTCAGTTTGCAGCAAAACGTTTTAAATAAGAATATATCACAAATGAATTTACAAGCTGAAGTATATATCTAGCCGCTTATCCGTCATAAATATATGAAGTGACATATTCCATTAGTCTGATAGAAAATATTAGCACCTAGTGATATCTATAAAGCAAGTAAGAATCTTTACTGCACTGTAGCCTAGAATTTTATTAATACTACAGAAAACTGAGATAGCGTAAGTTCAATAATAACTGTGACCATATAACTGATTTAATTGTTGAAACACACCGCTGAAAAATGTTTTGGAGTGGGTCAACATGGCATTCAAATATTTCTGAAACCTTTGACTACTATAAAGACGAGTGACTTTGCAAGAATTTAGGAACTATCTGTGCTGATTAATAAGACAAGTTTCAACTTAGACATATTTGCTGGATCCATTTTCTGATGAAGCCACTAGGTGAGGTGTCGGTTTGATGATGTTTTTTTGCAGAACACTTTTTTAACTCATGACCTCAGCTTACCAGTGACATTGTATTTAAGTGACTTTGCGATCTGAATCATGGTCCAAACAGTGTAGGATTACTCATAAAGCTGATTCCATCAAATTCTAGCATCTTGAACCATGCTTCTGCTTCATTTGTATAGTCTTATTATGTAAATAATTAACCGACCGGAGGTGGAAGAGAACAAGATAGAGACTTCTGCAAAATAATATGCTTGCATGAAAACAGAAATTCGGAGGGGGTACATGATGACTTATATCCACAAATTAGAAACGGTTTGAAGAAATAAAATGTGGACCGTGAGATGCTGGTGAATGAGTACGTCTTTTAAGTTACTAAGTTGACCAAAACTAAGGAGGTTCATGCAGGATTATAAACATCTACCGGGCAACTATTTCTGAAGAATTAGGCACTTCTGCAATGATATAGCATGACCAGATAGCGTGCACAGAGCAGCGAAGTGTACATTAACAAACTATCCAAAGTCTCATAAAAAAACATGTTAAGGAGTGGCGTTACGTGAACATGTAAGATATAAAGGTTTATAAGAAAATAACAGCCAATTTGATTTTCCTGTCTGAAGTAGTAAGTATAAAAAGATGGATGGTTTGTAATAATACGGGCAACAAGTAACACTAGTGATGCACGGGCGGTAAAACAAGAGATTAGTGCTTTAATTCCATATTTTAAGTGTGGTCAAATTCTATTACCGTTATTGTTTATGGTCCTTCATAGCGTCAGCAAACAACAAGAAAGGTAACCTGGGGTCCTGGTTAGATCACTCGTATAAAAAAATAAGTGGTAAAGGTTCAAAGGCTGTACGTTAAAAAAATCAACTTCTCATCGATTATTTTGTTGATAATGCATGATTTGTTCCTTCCCGTTCTCATCTACCGCCCTCCTGGATTGTATTTGATTCCTAAACATTTTGATCTCCAAGCTGACTTAGATGAATTAGTTAGATGGGCTCGAGGTTGGGGTTTAAGAGTTAATTCTAGGAAGAGTGTGCTCATGAACACGGTAATAGTTACCATTATACTATTGACGGTATATCTCTTCAACGCGTTCGGGAACATAAAGACTTAGGAGTAATAAAAAGTCATAAATTGAAAAAAACAACTGCGCATTGCAGCGCAGCTACTGCCAAAGCTTATCGTGAGTTATGGTCACTTCGCCGAGCATTCTGATGCTTTGACGAAAAAATGTTTCGAATTTTATATCCCAACTATGTAGAATTACGTTTAGGGTACTGTGTACAAGCAGCTAGTTTATGTCTAATAAAGGATGCTAACTCACTTGAGCGTGTTCAGCCTATGGAAACAAAATTAGTGAAGAGTCTTTCTAAAATCCCTTACGATGAGCGCTTAAAACGCTTAAACCTTTCCACTTGTCGTATCCGACGACGCGAGGTGACTTTATACTGGGATTTCGTATCTTTAATTATGGTTTAGTTGTTAAAATGTCTTATCTTTTTGCTCCCTCCAGCACTAATAATCTCCGAGGTCATGGTAAGAAGGTTCATAAAGCACGATTTAATAAATCTAAAAAGAGGATCCGTTTTTCTCGTCGAGTAGTCAATAACTAGAACGCCTTATCCGAAAAAGTGGTATCAGCCCATTAGTTAATATTTTTGAGTAAAAGCTGAACCTTTATTGGAAGGCAATCTGTCAGGATTAACACAGGTTCGCCAACTTACAGTCCTTATTACTGAGGACAAACTTAGGACTGATGTTCCCCCAACTCAAGCTACCAAAAAAGTGGAAATAAAGGGGAACGAAGTAGAAATAAAGGGGAAATGTCGCTTTTTCACCTTCACGTCGGTTATTTAGAGGAATTGGTCTTTAAATACCATGTGCTAGACCATATCTTAGATTGTAATAAAGTCTACGGATACAAAACCGACGAGTCTACCTACATTTGTAGCCGAGAGTTAGCGGGCTTCAATAGAAAACAGTAATTAAACATTAGTGACTCACTTTAAAGTTGTGTGGTTCACTTTTAGTAAGAACTCGTGTTGAGAGTGAATGAGTTTACTTTGGGGTTAAGGCAGGATATCGATCTTATCCAGAAAATTTGAAACGTCATTGGTTTTAAAATGATCAGCTGTCGTAAGTTTTGCTTTAAAAAAGCCAGTACAGTCACTTTCATATGCCTTTTAAAACGTATGGCCTTTCCTCCTTTTTGAAACACAATTCTATGTATGAGAACTTGTTTCCAGGCCGTCACAATCACGACTCATAAAACTTATTCTTTCCAAACTAATATCCTAGGTAGTGATAACAAATGAAACTTACTGTCATTTTCGCAGTGAATCAACAAATTTAAAAAACCACGCATTTTGATGTTTATGATTTGATGCGTTTAAACAAAACTATGACAATGAATCCACCGTTGAAAATTTTCATTAAAGTATGAAAATAAAGCTGCGATTAAGAAATAAATTCGTAATCCAAATTTAACTCGAAACGCAACAGTTTATTACAATGAACCTGTCTGGATATTCAATAAATCACACACTTGGCTGTTTGACGGATGTTCGGTCTCTATAGAGCAACAAACTTTCTATGCATATTATTGTTGTTCCAAACTTACTCACAACGTATTCAGGTAATCTATGAGGGGCAGAATGTTGCATTCTATTGTAATGCTACCGGTGGCTCCAAAAATGATTACATACACTACCAATGGGAGGTTAATAATCGTGATCTAATAGCCACTGATGCCTACTTTCATATAAGAGGCATTCAGAAAAGTGATGAGGGTGAGTATAAATGCATTGCTACTCAATATGTAAATGGGACTCCTATCGTCGCAACTGAATCCACATTTATCAGTGTTCGCAAAGGTGAGTAATTTGACTTTTTTTAATGTTCCTGTAAATACGTTTTTGTGTCTTCAGTACTATTTATGTGTTCACAAACATTGTAGCGAGTTCCGTCCAGACTATTGTTTTTCCAACTGATGTGATCCTTGTAGAAATCCTCTAAATCATTATAAAGTTCTGGACAGTCTTTTAATCTATTTGTGGAAGGTCACACAATTTGTTCAGGGATTAGAAAGCAGTTTTCTAATACGTCTTTTTACTTCAGTTTTTCATTAAACCCTTCCACTTACCGAGAAATTAACGTTTGATTATTTTTACTGAAAATTTCGAGAGAAACTCCTTTTTTCAAATATTTTATTTGGAAATCATGTCACTCTGTTTTAGACACTCCATACATCACAGTTTTTGATAAACTAAGGATTCTAGAGTTTATTTTTAATATGATTCTTTAAGGTTAAAACTCACTGAAGTTTCTTTATTTCAAACCAACTAGGCTTTTTATACAGGAATATTTTGGTAATCTCTATTTTTTCTCTACATTATTTATTTGAGAAGAAAACAATTCTTATGTCAAACCGACTTCCTAATAGCTGTGAACTTTAAATGTTGAAATCGTATATGTAGTTCTTCTCCAAATTTGTTAATTCACTTGTTATCTTTTCACAAAGGCATTATTCAAATCTTAATACTTAAAAGATATATGAATCTAGTGTTTAGCTTTTCCGACATCTAAGTGTTTATGTTATGATGAAGCATAATTTATCAAATTTTTTAAACCAATGAAGCATTATATCTTGTATTGTGAACTGATTGGTTGCATTGAACATTACTCAAATATAATCGACAAGCACTATAATCAAAATATTGCAGGTTTATTGTTATTTATTTCATAAGTAACTGGGGGAGTAATACAGGATAGATTTATTTATATAATGACAGTTTAAAAACTAAGGTTGATTTTGTTGTCGACGTATATAGAGTTTTAATTTCATTTTACTCTGTTATTTTACTTATCAACGTTCTAAATATCTATCATTAGAAAACGTACAATTTGGGGAAGAATGGATTTTAGTAGCCTTAAGACAAGTGAAATGAATCATGCTATTAAGTTATCTCGAATTATTAGATAATATACATTAAGAACTTTTATAAAGTCTATATATCACAATTTCAAGTAATCAACATTAATTTGAATTTAATTATGTTGATTAAGGTTGATAATTTACCTCAATAGAATGAAAAAAGTTCTTAAACGGAAACAAACAATTGCATTTCCTTTTATTATGAACCAGTGTTTACCATTTAAACAGGACTTATAAACAGATTAAAAATTGCAATTTGAATCATTCCGTGGTTGATATTCTCTACTGAATTTTGATTAATCTTGATTGGCATATGCACATCATATATGGATTGCCTCAACATATCCATTATGTTAGAAATTATGCGAATATCACGGATATAGTTTTTACAACTAGATTATCTTTATTGAAATCTCCAAATCATTTTATCATTAAAATAAGTTGATTATTTGAATTGTCGGTTATAACGATTAGATAATTATTATTACTATAGGATTTATAGCTTTTACATATTTTCAGCGGTTGCAGACTTATTATTAAGTAAACAGTAAGTATTGATTGTTTCAAAGAAAGTGAATTAAATGTGTACAAATACAGTTTCTTGAAGATTCTACGAATTCCTGTAGAAACTGTCTTTTTATGTAATAATCAGGATAATGATAAATTATCTTAAATATTAAGAAAAATATCAAAAGCTTAATTCTTTCTCTTGTTTTTTATCATCAAGATGTAATCGATTCTAATGTACAAATCACTATGATTAGGCATACTAAACTAGAACAAATGAATTTACACTAAATAAAATTCTATTATATTCAGTGATTCCTATGAAAGGCAAAAAGTCTACCATAAATAATTCTAATATGAATCCATAGAAAATAGATCACATCTGTAAGTTTAATTCATTCCTATGATCAAATTTCATAGTTCAACAAATCTATATCTATTCCTCTTACTTACACATCGTGGAGGAGCATAGACCGCCCACCCGACACTCTTCTGGGCAATGCTGTTGCAGGAGAACTGAAGACATTTGACGGATTAAAACCTTTTTATTGTAATATTAATAATTTACTGTGTTTTTGGATGTATTCGTTTTACTTAACTTTTGAACTTGTTTATTTATATCATTATTTCGGACATTTTGGTTTCCCATTGTCGTTGGTTTGGTATTTGGTAGTTTTGCTCCGGGAACCTACAAAATTGAAGGTTTGTTTTGTAATTGTTATAATTATTGTTGTTAGAAAGACGTTTGGTTGACTATTTGTGAATTGCAAACAAATTTGGTATCTGAATTGGAGTTTTGGTTCTGTTGTCAATTTGGGTTCGTAGTTTGCAAGTAGATCGATAGTTCGTACTTCAATAACTGGAACGAGCAAAACTTGGACGTAACAATGCTTTTCAGTTCTTTCCAGTTGTCATTCATTCTTTTCATATCTGCTTCCATTTCCTGACGTAGTGTGTTCTTTAGACTTCCTCGTCAAGATTCCTAGTTAGAGCTTGCCTCGTAATACAGTGCGATGATTTCCTGTTTGACTAACTTCCTCCTCAGCTGGAAGTTGGTATGTTCTCTCCCAAAGTAGGCTGTTGCTGACGGTATCAGGCTAACGGACATTCAGTATCTTACGTAGACAATTGTTTATAAATACTTGTACACTTTTGGTGATAGTTGTAATAGTTCTCCAAGATTCAGCTCTATACAGTAGAACTGTCTTGACGTTCTCATTAAAGATTCTGACTTTGATAGTGGTTGACAGTTGTTTTGTGTTCCATATGTTTTTCAAATTTAGGAATGCGGTCGTTGCTTTGCCGATCCTCTCCTTTACGTCTGCGTCCGACCCTTCGTGTTATATCTAATCTTCAGTTGAGCTATAATATACATTTTTGTATTCGTGAAAACGTAATGATACTATCTGATTAGTTACATCTGGTTTATTTACACTTTCTCGTTAATCATAAGAACTATAGAAGGTCATTTAATGATATTTCATTCGAAATAATTGATCATGGGAAACTAATTTATTTTGGAATAATTCTAGCGGTTAAAGGTAAATAAAGATTTTGAAAAAATAACAAATATAAGGATTAGAAACTATCATTTGAGTAAAATTATGTAAGCTGAGATACGTAATCTACACAAACTCGTTAAATGAAATTGTCAATTGTTGTATTTATAATGGAACATAACTGATTTGTATGATTAATGTGGCACTTCTTAAAGTGATACACTTTTTTACCTGAAAGTGTATTATTTCAGTGATAACAGAAACTTTTCAAGAAGAGCCTCTTAATGTTATGCTTAACTTTTCTAATATTTATTATTATCAGTATGACCAGAGCCACGATCGTAACTAATTGCTGTAGTAGTATGTTTGCTTGAAATGTTCAACTATCTTAGCCTATTAAACACAAATCAGTTTAAACTTATGTATCGAATTTTATTCTTTGAACAATTTAAGTGTGTTTGTACAGTACAATTTTACCTATTGCTTCATGTTATTCTAGATTATCAATAAATGATGTAATTTACTTCATAATGAGCTAAGTTATTTTATGTTACGGTGATATTTAAAAGTATTCGAATAATTGTATTAATTAGGAATCCCCGAAATAACTCAATTTAAGTAAGAGAGAACTAGGTGAGCACAAAAAAGCGTATTAAATTTGAAGTTCGAAATCGGGCACCCATCAAGTACTAAAAAATCATTAGTTCATACAAACACCATAGCTATCTATCACTATTTCATGAATTTTAGCCCTTTAGAAAATAATGATCTGATTTTATAGTAAACTTTAACATGTGAATTTATCATAACTCCTCAGATCTCGCATCACCAAAAACACTTGAATATGTTAAAACTTTCACATAAAACTAAATCAGAAGTGTTTGGAAAATTACTTTCCTCCTCAGTGGATGAAAAACTGAGCCCAAATATATTACCGTGGTGTGTGCTACTCATGTCGACAGACATAAGTAGTATATAACATCAATCAAACGTTGAATGGCTGACAGTATAAGGTTGGGAAGATGGAGTTGAAGAGGATGGGAACAGTGAGTAATTGTAATAGCAATAGAGGAACAATAAAATTTAAGACAGTTGATAGAGGATTCGCAAATGAAACATTTAATGTGTGGTTCTGATATTTTACCAAGATATTCTGTACCTTTGCACCGAACTATAAGTTGGTTGTCCCCTCTTGAGTTCTCGTTCCTTACAGTATCACGAAACATTCTGGATCACTTCTTATACGTTTAAACAATCATAGTGGGAGTGGATTTGATCGTTGTAAATAAGTTACCGGTAAATATCATGTATTTTATTAACTGTTACAATTTTTTTTACATAGCATCCGTTTACAGGATTAGTAATAAAAACTTAAATGTAGTATGTGACATTCAAACATATAAAGGCAAGTACGTGAAGTTGACTAAGTATTGACTAAAAAGGTTAATAATCTCAGTTAGAAACGTCGGTCACTGATTTGTAGATTACTGAGGAAAATGTTAAATGATTTTAGTGGTCTACTAAATTAAATGTTTTGTTCAATATGGACCAAATATCTACTTAACCAAAGCCTATTTTTAAACAAAATAACTTCTGAGTGCTCTCTATTTAACAATTGTATGGTTCAAATGCATGTAATACAACACATAAATAAGCTTATACAATGTTTACCGCTGCTCATTGTGATAAGCTGGATACCAATGTCATTTAGTTTTAATCGCTAGACATAATGATTTTAGGTTAAACCACACGTTTCTAAGCTATTTAAAAAAACAGTGAAGATTCAAGTTCAGATTAATTCTGATTGTATTTTGAGGACTTGACATAATGTAGGATATTCAAAGCCGATATGCTATATGTTGTTAGGTCATTAGAATGCAATAAGAGTTTAATTGACATAGAATTCATGCTTTTTTTAACAGATAGGCAACAT